GGGGGCAACTGAACAACAACACTCCCTTGATCACACACATACCTTAGGCCAAACTGCATCACACATGTTCATTCTTTGCAATTATTATTGTTATTCTGCTGCAATTGCTCATGGTATCTCTTGAAAATAATGCCTTCAGACTAAATTCAAAGTTGTAGAGGGATTATTTCGCAGCTTAAAATAGAAAGAAGCCTGTGCTTTAATATTTAAAGTGTCATGGTTGTGCATGTCATTGTAAATCTTATTATATATAATATATAGTGGAATAATATAGTGGAAACTTGTTATAGGTCTATATAATATATAGTGGAATTTAAAAAGTAGAATGTGTGTATGTTGTTAGAGGAAATACAGAATGAACACATATGGTATAAATACATACATAAACACATAAATCAATGAAATACAAAACAATATGACATGAAGTTTGACACATATGCGTCAATGATATTTTAGACAGACGACCAAATCATTTTAGTGTTCTACAGTGTTCATAGTACATTTCCTCTACAATCACGCGCCCACATGCACTCTTGTGTCATATGACTTGTGAGATTCAAACGTGTAGGCTATATCAAAATACATGCACACACAACACAACAAACACAGGTGATTTATTCTGTTTTTACATCATTTTAAGTGACATAATGTATATAGTAATATCATATATCATGATATATTAGTACAGGCTAATATGAAGAATTGGCATAAATGAAAATTTCATTCAGGCTATAAATATATGAGCCCAGGAGATTATTATTGGCACTATTTTTGCGTGAGACTAAACAAAGAACATATGCTGAAAATACAGCAAATAGTAAAGTGTCACCTACCCACAGAAGCTGACACGCCAGCTGAAGTATTGTTTTGAGAGCGTTTCTCCTCTGATCGCTCATTTTCAGACGTCAGGACCCGCGAGGAACGAGCGCGCAATAATCCGTGTAACCACCAGGAGATTAGTTAATGTAACAAATGAACCGAACCTTTGCGTAAAGAAACAATCTGTTTGATGAAAAGAGGGAGAGTTGGAGGCACGTGAGAGCTGTAGACTGGTGCAACTTTCCTTCCGCCATGGCATAAAATCAGCTTCCTCAAAATACGCGGAAACATGGTTGCAATAAAACAGCCACAAAGGTTTATAGTAATTTTAACAGGTGGAATCAGTGCTGTGACCTTTACGGCTGCATGACTGAAGAAGAGGAATGGACAAGACGAAGCAAAAGTTACACCTGATCATTACCGCCCTCCTGCCAAATTAAGTGAAATGACAACAAAAAGAGAGCTAAAAAATCTGATCTAGAGCAGGTTGACAGGGCATGGTCAGTTGAGGAGGTATTCAGTGCCTTTACTGATGTAAAAGTTATATATAAAATATAACAGCAGATACTCTATTACAAACAGAACACTCAGTGGCGGTTCTAGCTTATGGTGCCCTGGGCAAATACCCCCTTCAGCCCCCCCCCCATTCACTATTCTGCACAAACTGATTTTTTATTAAACAAATTATAACTTTTAAAAACTATATATATATAGTTTTTTTTAATATACAGTTGTGTGAAAAAGTGTTTGCCCCCTTCCTGATTTCTTATTTTTTTGCATGTTTGTCACACTTAAATGTTTCAGATCGAACAAATTTAAATATTAGACAAAGATAACACAAGTAAACAAAATGCACTTTTTAAATGAAGGTTATTATTAAGGGGGAAAAAAATCCAAACCTACATGGCCCTGTGTGAAAAAGTGATTGCCCCCTAAACCTAATAACTGGTTGGGCAGCAACAACTGCAATCAAGCGTTTGCGATAAGTGACAATGAGTCTTTTACAGCGCTGTGGAGGAATTTTGGCCCACTCATCTTTGCAGAATTGTTATAATTCAGCCACATTGGAGGGTTTTCGAGCATGAACCGCCTTTTTAAAAAGGTCATGCCACAGCATCTCAATCGGATCCAGGTTGGGACTTTGACTAGGCCACTCCAAAGTCTTCATTTTGTTTTTCTTAAGCCATTCAGAGGTGGACTTGCTGGTGTGTTTTGGATCATTGTCCTGCTGCAGAACCCAAGTGCGCTTCAGCTTGAGGTTATGAACGGATGGCCAGACATTCTCCTTCAGGATTTCTTTGGTAGACAGCAGAATTCATGGTTCCATTTACCACTGCAAGTCTTCCAGGTCCTGAAGCAGCAAAACAGCCCCAGACCATCACACTACCACCACCATATTTTACTGTTGGTATGATGTTCCTTTTCTGAAATACCGTGTTACTTTTACGCCAGATGTAATGGGACATACACCTTCCAAAAAGTTCAACTTTTGTCTCGTCAGTCCACAGAGTATTTTCCCAAAAGTCTTGGGGATCATCAAGATGTTTTCTGGCAAAACTGAGACAAGCCTTTATGTTCTTTTTGCTCTACTCGCTCTTGGATACTTATGCAGGCCATTTTTGCCCAGAGCACTCTGTTATCTGATGGTGGAGTCATGAACACTGACTCTTAATCTGAAGGGCAATAGTAGGCCATGCAGTTCTTTGGATGTTGTTCTGGGTCTTTTGTGGCTCTTGGATTCGAGTCTTGCCTCGCTATCTTGGTTGGTAATCTTTTGTCTGCCAGCCACTCCTGGGAAGGTTCACCACTGTTCCATGTTTGTCGCCATTTGTGGATAATGTGCTCTCACTGTGGTTCGCTGGAGTCCCAAAGCTCTTAGAAATGGCTTTGTAACCTTTTCCAGACTGATAGATCTCAATTACTTTGTTTCTCATGTTGTTCCTGAATTTCTTTGGATCGCAGACATGATGTCTAGCTTTTGAGGATCTTTTTGGTCTACTTCACTTTGTCAGGCAGGTCCTATTTAAGTGATTTCTTGATTGAGAACAGGTGTGGCAGTAATCAGGCCTGGGTGTGGCTAGAGAAATTGAACATCAGCTTTCCAAAGATGTGATAAACCACAGTTAATTTATGTTTTAACGGGGGGGGGGGCAATCACTTTTTCACACAGGGCCATGTAGGTTTGGATTTTTTTTCCCCTTAATAATAAAAACCTTCATTTAAAAACTGCATTTTGTGTTTACTTGTGTTATCTTTGTCTAATATTTAAATTTGTTTGATGATCTGAAACATTTAAGTGTGACAAACATGCAAAAAAATAAGAAATCAGGAAGGGGGCAAACACTTTCACACAACTGTATGTATGTATGTATGTATATATCATTTTTAAGTTATAATTTGTTTAATGAAATATAATTAATGTTAATCTGCTAAAATATTACTGAAAGTCATGGAACAAATTATCATAACTTTTAAAAACTAAATAAATTATAAATACCAATTATATACAATCATAAACACCAAAATAATGTAAGATTAGAAAAAGTCTCTGTCTCTCTTATATACACACAAAAAACAAAGACAATCAAATTACTGAATTGCACAAATCCTTCATCCCACAAATTATTAACAAGAGAACCTACTTATTATTATTTATTTAAGCCTTGATCCTTTATTGTCTTTCATCAGTCCAATTAAGTACCAAAATGATGAGATAGATAGATAGATAGATAGATAGATAGATAGATAGATAGATAGATAGATAGATAGATAGATAGATAGATAGATAAATAACAAAATTAACAAGACTCACACATATGGTAGTGTGCAGACTAGTTTATTATTTCACAGTATCATTGCATTAGTTCTGCATAAGATTCCCTGTTCCCTCCTCGTTGGTCCTCGGTTGAAATCGTGGCTATTCGGAAAATCGAACGGAGAAATAGAAGAGAACGGACGAGTTTCGTGAACATGAACGCAGCGTTTGAAGTTTTAGCTCAGTCTTTGTCGTTTTTATTTTTACCTTACACACACACACACACACACACACACACACACACACACACACACACACACACACACACACTTTGGTCAGGTTCGATCCCACGTCTCCAGGTTGAAACGTCCTTCCTCTCTCTGGACCACCTTCAGCAGTGAGCGACTCTTAGAGTCTGGACCTGACTCACCTGCAAGCAGGTAACAACGCCTTGCGTGGAATTCACACTGAAACGTGACGTAGGCTACGCACGAAGCTAGAAAGATGCATAAGCACCAAAAAAAAAAAAAAAATGTATCAAATGTATCAAACAGTGCGCGCGCAAGATTCCACGCATATTTTCGCTCAGAATTATTTTCTTTGAACTTTATTCACGTACTCTTAATTGAAATTAGTCTAAAATATTTACAGTTTTGTTTATCTACATCCATGCTCTGTTTTAAATAAATTCTTACATGGAATGAAGCAACGTGAGACAATGAGACATGTCCCCTGTATCTAAATCCGCCATTGGCTGGGTGTCAAGTTGTTGATAGTTTGTGCTTGGTGAGGTGACTGTCAGCTCTGTGTTCAGTGGTCTGTGTCAGAGTCTCTTCCTGCTCTAACGGCTCAGTGTCTCTGCAGTCTGACTGAGGGAGGTTTTTGTACGACTACAAATCACTGTGTGAACACTGGTCCATTGTGTACACTCTGACAGTAATAAACTGCTGCATCTTCAGTCTGAACTCCACTGATGGTCAAACTGAAGTCAGAGCTGCTTCCACTGCCACTAAACCGAGCTGGTGTTCCTGAATGAAGTGTGCTCACAGATTTTATTAGAAGCTTTAGAGTCTGTCCAGATTTCTGTTGGTACCAGACCATACAGGGTTTACCACCACACGTTCCAACATCTTGGCTGGTTCTACAGGTAAGAGTGACAGTGGATCCTGGAGTAAATGTCTTTACTGGAGGCTGAGTCACAGTCACCTGACCGCTGCATCCTGCAGACAAAAACAAATCATTCATTTATCAGCAGAAAGAAATGAGAGAAAAGGCAGCACATCATGTTTCAAATGTTGCTGAGTGAATCAACCTGTAAAACAGCAGCAGGCCAGCGTCCAGATGAGGATGGTGATGAGAGTCATGGTGGTTGTGCTTTCTGCTGTGTTGACTGACAGATCTGAGTCCTGCAGTGTTCAACTCACAGGACTATAAACCTTCTCAGTTCACTGGAGGATCAGCTGACGATGCAAAGCCTCCTCTCTATGGAAATGATTTCTCTGCTCTCAACAGACTGAAGGCAACGTGGGACACAACATCAGGAGAAATGCTGCTTGGATTTACACTAAATATCATCTTAATGGAAGAGAAGGAAATATTTAGAATTAGAAGAATTAGAATCAGAGTTAAAGAGTTTCAGCATTTGAATTTAAATGGTTTCACTATGGAACATTTTTGACTTTATCTTCTTTAATGTTGTTTCTTTTCATTATCAACATTTCCCTCTTCTTTTTGTCTTGTTCACATGACTTTGTCCTCATTAACAGGTGCATGGCGTCCCCTGCTGGCAAACTGTATCAACACTGGACTCAGAATGAACTGACACAACAATTGTCTAATTTTAAATTACCTTGTTTTCACATTCATTTTTGTCATCCTCATACTGCTGCTAGATTCAGAGTACTGAGACACACACAGAAGGTTGACAACACATCAATCACATGATTTTTCCCTCCAAGCTTCACAGCAACATCGCAACAGGTTGTAACTTCAGGCAAAGTTAAAAACAAAGCNTCTGTGTTCAGTGGTCTGTGTCAGAGTCTCTTCCTGCTCTAACGGCTCAGTGTCTCTGCAGTCTGACTGAGGGAGGTTTTTGTACGACTACAAATCACTGTGTGAACACTGGTCCATTGTGTACACTCTGACAGTAATAAACTGCTGCATCTTCAGTCTGAACTCCACTGATGGTCAAACTGAAGTCAGAGCTGCTTCCACTGCCACTAAACCGAGCTGGTGTTCCTGAATGAAGTGTGCTCACATATTTTAATAGGAGCTTTGGAGTCTGTCCAGATTTCTGTTGGTACCAGAACATGCACTGACCAATATAATCACAGCTGTAATAAACATCTTGGCTGGTTTTACAGGTGAGAGTGACAGTGGATCCTGGAGTAATTGTCTTTACTGGAGGCTGAGTCACAGTCACCTGACCGCTGCATCCTGCAGACAAAAACAAATCATTCATTTATCAGCAGAAAGAAATGAGAGAAAAGGCAGCACATCATGTTTCAAATGTTGCTGAGTGAATCAACCTGTAAAACAGCAGCAGGCCAGCGTCCAGATGAGGATGGTGATGAGAGTCATGGTGGTTGTGCTTTCTGCTGTGTTGACTGACAGATCTGAGTCCTGCAGTGTTCAACTCACAGGACTATAAACCTTCTCAGTTCACTGGAGGATCAGCTGACGATGCAAAGCCTCCTCTCTATGGAAATGATTTCTCTGCTCTCAACAGACTGAAGGCAACGTGGGACACAACATCAGGAGAAATGCTGCTTGGATTTACACTAAATATCATCTTAATGGAAGAGAAGGAAATATTTATATTAGAAGTGCAGTTGAGGATTTAAGGATCAGTTTGTGTCCACTGTGGTTGGTATGATGTGTCTGTTTGTCTGCCTTTAGTGTTTACTCTACATTAATCATATATTTGAATGATGCTTAAAATGAATCATTATCATTAAAAGGATCATGTTCATTTAATCACGTATCAACTGATATAAACTGTGAAAAATGTGACTTTGTTACAAGGAGACTGTGATGGTTTCTCTGTCAGGTTTAGAAAAGTTGAACAAAACTCAAGAAATCATCTTAATTTATACATTATTTTCAATCTATACCTTTAAAACACTTTGTAGATTAAAATAGTTTATATTTTATTGAGTTATCAGAACAAGAGGAGGTTGTTTTCAGTGGATAGAAGCTTGTTCACAGTGCAGGAGGTTTTTGTACGGCCACTTCATGAGTTTGTATCACTGTGGAACACTTTTGGTGGAGGAACCAAACTCGTCGTTGACTGTAAGTACCAGAGATTTTTATATTGAACAACATAAAACATTTATAAGTTTTATCAAATATTCAATGAGACTGTGATTAAGTTCAGTTTTTGAATATTGTTAATAATCTTTGTAATTTATCAAGAAAAGCTGATCTCACAGTCTGATGACTCATTATCTGCTTCAAAATGTTTGACAGTAAAATGTTTAGTCTTCAAACCAAACGTCAAAAGTTTCATTTAGTTTTCATTTATTCCTTTTGAAAAATAACAACGTTGAACTAAAACCTGATGTGGATTCCTGTTCAACACAAACATGATTTAATCAGTAAAAGCAGCTCAGCTTTGTGTTCACGCTTCATTCATTTTCCATGTGCTGAAAAGGAAGTGAAAGAGACAGATGACAAAGGTTTGAACTGTCTTCACATGAGTGTTTCAGCTCTGTCACTTTAAACAGAAGAAAATCTTCACAGGGATGAGTTATACACTGTCACACATTATCAAACACATGTGAAGATGTCATCAATAATCATTATCAATCAGCCTTTATCCACTTGAATCATGTGGCTGATGGTCTGATGCTGAGTGATTTATGAGAGCAACAGTAGAACAAGTTCTTCTGTTTCATTTGATCAGATACAAGAAATGAGCAGTATGTCGTGTTTCTTTATTACCAAGCCTTCATTCTCATTCCTTTGTGTTTTCTCCCCCCTCTCTCTCCTCCAGTGGGGGTGGTGCGGCCCACCCTGACCGTCCTCCCCCCCTCCGTAGAGGAGCTGCAGAAGGGCAGTGCCACAGTGGTGTGTCTGGCCAGCGGAGGCTTCCCCTCAGCCTGGAGGCTGGGCTGGAAGGTGGGGGGCAGCAGCAGCTCCTCAGGGGTGTCAAACAGCCTGGAGGACCTGGGGAGGGACGGCCACTACAGCTGGAGCAGCACCCTGAGCCTCCCTGCAGACCAGTGGAGGAAGGCGGGCTCAGTGAGCTGTGAGGCCGGTCTGACTGGACAGAGCCCTGTCACTCAAACCCTGGAGCCTGACCGCTGCTCAGAGTAGAGCTTCAGCAGCACTTCCTGTCTGGAGGTGATGCTGCTTCTTTGATAGAGATCTTGATGAAGCTACAGATCTCCTCTCTTCACATATTTCTGCAAACTCATCATTGTGTTTTAATGTGCCTGCAGCTTCCTGTAACTAATCTCACTCATATTCTGCTTCATAGTTATTATTCTCATAATGTCTTTCAACATTTTCATCTAAACAATAAAACTAAACAGCTTATAATAAATCACTGTCTCTGTGTTTATTTTGCTTTATATCATTCATGCAAAGTTCACATTTAATCACAATTTATCTTCCATCAGAGGTCCTTCATTATTTGTTAACAATTAGACTATTTTTATGTAACAGGTTAATATATTTTGTTTTTCCTATGAATATAAAACTATTAGTGGAAATACTATTGGACATGTTTTTCTATTAGTGGAAATATTTGAGATTTGATGATGAGAATTTAAGTGAAAGCTTCATGTTAGAAACTGTCTCTGAGTTTGTTTCACTTTTATTAAGTTCATTGTGGTTCTGCTTGATGACTCTTGTGTTGTGTTCACTGAACCAGTTCTCCTCCTCACAGTCTCTTCACCAACCCTCTGCACCTGCAGCAGGCTGTTTTCACTTCAGTCTGACTGAGGGAGGTTTTTGTACGACTCTAAATCACTGTGTGAATGTATAATCACTATGGTAGCCCAGACAGTAGTAATCTCCTGCATCTTCAGCCTGAACACCACTGATGGTTAAAGTGTAGTGAGAACCAGATCTACTGCCACTGAATCGAGATGGAGTTCCTGAGTTTAGAGTTGATGCTCTGTATATCAGAAGTTTTGGAGCCTGTCCAGGTTTCTGAAGGTACCAACTCAGATCAGCACCAATGTTTGAACTCCCTGTGGCGCTGATGGTCACAGTCGCTCCAAGACTAACAGACTTGGATTTGTCAGTCTGAGTCAGAAAATTGTTGGCAGAAGACTCTGAAATGAGAAATGAAAAATAAATCTTGAGAATCAGTGATTTAGATTATAACAAATAAAGTAATAATTAAGGCTAGATTTGAAGCAAAATAGAAAGTAAATTACATTTGCACCAAATATTAACATTTGATCATTTAAAAATCTTAGATAAATATTAAAACCTTCTCACCCTGACACAGAAAACCCAAGACAACAAGCAGAGTTATTGGCGACATCATCCTGATGCAGTTTTCAGTGTGAGTGCATGAAAACAGTTCAGACTCTCTGTGACTGAAGAACTTAAACTCTGACGAGCAGTGATGCATAAAAGTCATGCAAAGTAAATGTGAGCACACCTGTCTTTATGAAACTGAGAGGGACAGATGAGGTGGAGGAGGAGCAGGTTTTATCTCCATGTGGACTGATTCAGCACATGTAGAAACCTGAGACTTTCTGTTCCTCATCTCTCTGCTGTTTCTGTCTTTGCAAAGCTCCCAAAGGTCTCTGTGCTGATGAGCAGGAGCACACTGCCCTCTGCTGACACTTCAGGTTCATAACAACTCCATGTTTGCATCATATTCATTTTGTATTCAGTCCTTAGATATTTTCAAGATCATGTGACATCAGTCTGTTAATCCAGCTGTGACATTAGAAGATTCTCACCTGTTCACATCAAACACATAAAGAGTGAACTCGAAGAGAAAACAGCTCAAATAAACAGGCGTAACCTGTTAGTCTCTGTTTTACAGGTTATTTGCAATTTTTATTCATATTTACAAGAATATTTAAAAGAATGTTAGGGTGAAGGGGTGAAGGGGTGAAGGGATAAAGGGAGTGGGGGGTAGGGGTAAAGGGGGTGCAGGATAGGAGAATAGGAGTAGTGGTAGGGTGAGGGGTCAGGGTGGGTGCAGGATGGAAGCTTCACTGCCGTCCATTCCTCCACTTTACTGTCACTGTGGCTGCTTTCCTTCTTGCGAGCCCAGCTCCAGTTGCTCCATTTCTTCTCCTTTATCTCCTCGTCCTGTCCGACCTCAGCCTGACACACTGCAGCCTCCTCCTCCTCCTCCTCCTCCACCTCCTCAAAGCTGGTTTCTTGCTACTTTTTGCTCCAGAGGCCTCGTCTCCTCTTTATTTTGTCTTTCTTTTTCTGCTCCTGTCCGGTCTGAGCCAGACACACTGAACCCTCCTCGTCACCGTTGCTTTTTTCTTTCTTCTTGCCCCAGAAGCCTCTCCTGCTCTCCTTCTTCTCCTCCTTCTCCTTCATCTTGTCACAGTCCTTCATCCATGAATCTCTGACTTTCTCTGTCTCCTCCTTCTGTGCACCGAGAGTGTCTCCAAGTGAAGAGAGTTCTCTTTCCTTCTCTCTGACTCTTTCCTCCCAATTGTTGTGATCTCTGCCTGCCTTTGTGACCTCCAGAGCCTTTTCCAAATCATTGACCCTCTGTTTGGCCATGTGCAGCTTCCTACCCAGCGTCCCCTGCAGGCAGCGATTCTCGTGCATCACTTTCTGATTTTCTCCCTGCAGGTTGGCAAACTGCTGCCTCAGCGCAGCGTTTTCAGAGGCCAGCTTCATATTGCACTCTTCAGCTGAGAGAAGGGCTTGTCTGAGGGAGTTCACGTCTGAGCTGGGAGGCACTCCTGCAGGTGGCACATAATGCTGGGGCCTCCTAGTGTTGTTAGTCTGCACTCTACCAGATGCCTGAAATACATGAAAACACAACAAGTTTCTGAAAAATCCTCCTGTCTGCAAAATTATAAAATGATTTCTTGTTTTTCTTCAGGCTTTAGACCAAATATGAAGAAGAGAAAGAGCAGACTGGCTCCTGCTTTAGTGCAGTGGTGAAAAAAAGGTTTACCAAACAAGTTTCTCTTGGTTGAATGAGAAGATCTTACCCTGGGCCTCAGGTTGTATCTCCCTTCCATGATGACTGGACAAAGAGATGGTGAAGGTTGTATTGTTGTTTGACTGTGTAGGTTGACAGTAGCTGATCACTGGTGACTGGAGTTGACTGATGGTCAGGTGAAGTACTGAGTGAAAGTTAAACTGTTTGGAGGAGACGGTTCTAGACTGTTCCATCTTTGTGATGTCACTGACACAGAAGAACCAGAAAGTTCTGATCATTAACTGAGGATGATGATGTGGGTTAAGACTTTCTGTCAACAGAAACAAAGCACCAATAATTCACATACTTCAGCTTCAGAAGCAAATATTGTAGTTTTTACTCTACATTTATCTGACAGCTGTAGTTACTACTTATTTTTAGTTTGATTTTTATATATAAAATATTGATAAAGTTTATGATGAATAACATGATGGAGTGTTTTGGTCTTTTATCTGATGAAGAATAATAAGAAATTGAATTGTTTTATAATTTCAACTGATTCTTGTCTCTGTGGAGAATGAAAAGTTTAGGATTTAAATGATGAAGAAAAAATAAATGTTGTTAATCTAATTGTTCCAAAAAGTAAGGAATTCATATTTTTGTTATGATAGGAAACTAAACAAGCAATGATGTGAGTTTTCTTTGAAATGAGACAAAAATAAAAATAAAAATATGTGAACAAACAACATTTATATGAGCTGTTGACTTTGAATATGAACGGAACATCATTACATTCTTACATTATCTTTGTTACAAAAATATCCTTGTAAAGGTTGAATTAATCAATTAGTGTGAATGTGTGTTTAGTGCTTGGTGAGGTGACTGTCAGCTCTGTGTTCAGTGGTCTGTGTCAGAGTCTCTTCCTGCTCTAACGGCTCAGTGTCTCTGCAGTCTGACTGAGGGAGGTTTTTGTACGACTACAAATCACTGTGTGAACACTGAGGCACTGTTTATATAATGCAGACTCTGACAGTAATAAACTGCTGCATCTTCAGTCTGAACTCCACTGATGGTCAAACTGAAGTCAGAGCTGCTTCCACTGCCACTAAACCGAGCTGGTGTTCCTGATTCACGTGTGCTCACATATCTTATTAGGAGCTTTGGAGTCTGTCCAGATTTCTGTTGATACCAGAAAAGGTAATTATTACCATAAACATCTTGGCTGGTTTTACAGGTGAGAGTGACAGTGGATCCTGGAGTAAATGTCTCTACTGGAGGCTGAGTCACAGTCACCTGACCGCTGCATCCTGCAGACAAAAACAAATCATTCATTTATCAGCAGAAAGAAATGAGAGAAAAGGCAGCACATCATGTTTCAAATGTTGCTGAGTGAATCAACCTGTAAAACAGCAGCAGGCCAGCGTCCAGATGAGGATGGTGATGAGAGTCATGGTGGTTGTGCTTTCTGCTGTGTTGACTGACAGATCTGAGTCCTGCAGTGTTCAACTCACAGGACTATAAACCTTCTCAGTTCACTGGAGGATCAGCTGACGATGCAAAGCCTCCTCTCTATGGAAATGATTTCTCTGCTCTCAACAGACTGAAGGCAACGTGGGACACAACATCAGGAGAAATGCTGCTTGGATTTACACTAAATATCATCTTAATGGAAGAGAAGGAAATATTTATATTAGAAGTGCAGTTGAGGATTTAAGGATCAGTTTGTGTCCACTGTGGTTGGTATGATGTGTCTGTTTGTCTGCCTTTAGTGTTTACTCTACATTAATCATATATTTGAATGATGCTTAAAATGAATCATTATCATTAAAAGGATCATGTTCATTTAATCACGTATCAACTGATATAAACTGTGAAAAATGTGACTTTGTTACAAGGAGACTGTGATGGTTTCTCTGTCAGGTTTAGAAAAGTTGAACAAAACTCAAGAAATCATCTTAATTTATACATTATTTTCAATCTATACCTTTAAAACACTTTGTAGATTAAAATAGTTTATATTTTATTGAGTTATCAGAACAAGAGGAGGTTGTTTTCAGTGGATAGAAGCTTGTTCACAGTGCAGGAGGTTTTTGTACGGCCACTTCATGAGTTTGTATCACTGTGGAGCACTTTTGGTGGAGGAACCAAACTCGTCGTTGACTGTAAGTACCAGAGATTTTTATATTGAACAACATAAAACATTTATAAGTTTTATCAAATATTCAATGAGACTGTGATTAAGTTCAGTTTTTGAATATTGTTAATAATCTTTGTAATTTATCAAGAAAAGCTGATCTCACAGTCTGATGACTCATTATCTGCTTCAAAATGTTTGACAGTAAAATGTTTAGTCTTCAAACCAAACGTCAAAAGTTTCATTTAGTTTTCATTTATTCCTTTTGAAAAATAACAACGTTGAACTAAAACCTGATGTGGATTCCTGTTCAACACAAACATGATTTAATCAGTAAAAGCAGCTCAGCTTTGTGTTCACGCTTCATTCATTTTCCATGTGCTGAAAAGGAAGTGAAAGAGACAGATGACAAAGGTTTGAACTGTCTTCACATGAGTGTTTCAGCTCTGTCACTTTAAACAGAAGAAAATCTTCACAGGGATGAGTTATACACTGTCACACATTATCAAACACATGTGAAGATGTCATCAATAATCATTATCAATCAGCCTTTATCCACTTGAATCATGTGGCTGATGGTCTGATGCTGAGTGATTTATGAGAGCAACAGTAGAACAAGTTCTTCTGTTTCATTTGATCAGATACAAGAAATGAGCAGTATGTCGTGTTTCTTTATTACCAAGCCTTCATTCTCATTCCTTTGTGTTTTCTCCCCCCTCTCTCTCCTCCAGTGGGGGTGGTGCGGCCCACCCTGACCGTCCTCCCCCCCTCCATAGAGGAGCTGCAGAAGGGCAGTGCCACAGTGGTGTGTCTGGCGGAGCGAGTGGGCTTCCCCTCAGCCTGGAGGCTGGGCTGGAAGGTGGGGGGCAGCAGCAGCTCCTCAGGGGTGTCAAACAGCCTGGAGGACCTGGGGAGGGACGGCCACTACAGCTGGAGCAGCACCCTGAGCCTCCCTGCAGACCAGTGGAGGAAGGCGGGCTCAGTGAGCTGTGAGGCCGGTCTGACTGGACAGAGCCCTGTCACTCAAACCCTGGAGCCTGACCGCTGCTCAGAGTAGAGCTTCAGCAGCACTTCCTGTCTGGAGGTGATGCTGCTTCTTTGATAGAGATCTTGATGAAGCTACAGATCTCCTCTCTTCACATATTTCTGCAAACTCATCATTGTGTTTTAATGTGCCTGCAGCTTCCTGTAACTAATCTCACTCATATTCTGCTTCATAGTTATTATTCTCATAATGTCTTTCAACATTTTCATTTAAACAATAAAACTAAACAGCTTATAATAAATCATTGTCTCTGTGTTTATTTTGCTTTATATCATTCATGCAAAGTTCACATTTAATCACAATTTATCTTCCATCAGAGGTCCTTCATTATTTTCAAACCATCAAACTCCTTTTATATAACAGGTAAAATATATTGTGTTTATCTCATGAATGAAAAACTATTAGTGGAAATATTGTTGGACATGTTTTTCTATTAGTGGAAATATTTGAGATTTGATGATGAGAATTTAAGTTAAAGCTTCATGTTAGAAACTGTCTCTGAGTTTGTTTCACTTTTATTTAGGTTCATTGTGGTTCTGCTTGATGACTCTTGTGTTGTGTTCACTGAACCAGTTCTCCTCCTCACAGTCTCTTCACCAACCCTCTGCACCTGCAGCAGGCTGTTTTCACTTCAGTCACAATGAGGGAGGTTTTTGTACAGCTCTATATCACTGTGTGAACATTGGGCCTCTATATGCTCCCATACAGTAGTAATCTCCTGCATCTTCAACTTGAACTCCACTGATTGTCAGAGTGAATTCAGGTTCAGCTCCACTGCTGCTGAAGTGACTCGGAGTATCAGATACACGACTACTTATTTTGTAAAACAGCAGTTTGATTGGCTGTTCAGGTTTCTGCAGGTACCAACTGAGATCATCATCAACTCCTGTACTAGCTGTACAGCTCAGAGAGACCGTCTCCCCCAGACTAACAGCCTTTGATACAGGAGACTGAGTCACAGAGGGACTGGCACCTGATCCTGGAAATTAAAAAACAGTTTGATTAAAAAATGATGATATAGAAATGATAACACATGTAGACAGTGAACAGACTTAGACTTCAATCAATCAGTGAACAGGTTGTAATGGAAACAAACCACTTCTCACCTTGAAGTGTGAGCAGCAGCAGCGAGGTCAGCAGTGGAGTCAGTAACATCATCATTATGATGAATCTCACTGTCAGATGGACTGAACTCACTCGTCTCAGTGGTTCATCTTAAACTGGTTCAGGAGCAGTCATGCACAGCAATCATTCAAAACACAGCCTGCACAGTCAAACGAATACCTGCGTGTATGTGTGCTTGCGTGCGTGCGTGCGTGCGTGCGTGCGTGCGTGCGTGCGTGCGTGTGTGTGGAGAGAAAATGTTTGTCAGATTCAACATGAGAGACTCTGTCTGTCAGCAGCGTTACATCAGTGATTGGTCAAATGTCTTATCAGCACAACACCACGAAAACATTTGAGGTTTGGTTTTTTTTACAGGACGTCATTCGTTACATGATCATGCTCCATAAAATTATTTCTCAGTTCACCTCAGTCACATCTGAATAATGAAGAGAAGGTTTTTCCTCAGAAAGCTGTTACATGTTCTTCTGTGATGGTATCATCCTGTATTTCAAACTGTTATAAATAAAGCTGCTGAAGTTTCTGTGGCGTCGATAGAGAACATGATTGAAAGTCATTTACCTGAATGTTTCCAAAGTGAAAAGTTTCTGTAATAATAATATGCTGCTGAATACCAAGACTTTTCTGTATTTCATCAGGTCAACAACAGTTGTTTGTCACTGTTGTGTTCATGTGTTTGACATGTCTGGCTGCTTTGTGCTTGCTGTTGTGTGAAGGAGGTTCAAACTCATCATACACAGTAAGTCTGATTTCATAATGGATCAAACTCTAGACATCACTTTTTTCTACGCAAACTAAATCATTTCACTTGATGTTGAAAAAAACTAAATGTTTTATTTAAAAAACATGAAAAACTACTTCATGGTTCAGTGAAGATAAAGATGACTGTTGAACAATGACTATTGTTAATCTATTTTGATCATTTCGATAATCACAGAATGGGTCATTGTTTGTACTTGATGGTAAAAAAAGAATGCATAACTAATATTGTGGTTATTTTACAAAACAATATGTTTGTTAGAAAAAAGACAGCATGAATTTGAATTTGTAAATAGACAAAAAAAATTCTAAGATTAAAAAGCTTGATCATAACATTAAACTTTAAAAATGAGTTTAAAATTTGTAGGAAAATCAAATTACTGCATTTGAATGATGCTACTGATTCCAATTTTCTGTAGATTATATTCAATCTGTACAAAAATGTGGTTTTAAATGAAATTTTACAACCCAATACTCATAGTTTCTTAATTTTCAATATTTTTTAAACTGCAAATGAAGCAAATCTCTTAAAATGAAACATAAACATTTTGTATTAATGCTGCATGTGTGGGAAATGTAAATGTGATGGTGTGAATTCATTCTTAGTTCTCATTTTAGTAAAGATAGGGTGAAATAAACTATGACGTTAACCTCTGTCATGTATGATAACTGTGTCATGTTCAGCTGTCTGTCCTACAGTGGAAGTTAATCTGCTCCTTGTGTGTCTCTGCTCTCCCCTCCAGCTGGCTCCATGGTCAGGCCCTCAGTCTCTCTGCTTCCCCCGTCCTCTGAGCAGCTCTCCGGGGGCTCGGCCACGCTGGCCTGCCTGCTGACCGGCTACTCTCCTCAGGGAGCCGTGGTGAGCTGGGAGGTGGACGGTACAGAGGTGACAGAGGGGGTCCTGGCCAGCTCAGAGGAGGAGAAGAGCGGACGCTACAGCAGCAGCAGCACCCTGAGCCTGAGCCAGGAGCGCTGGATGGAAGGAGAGCTGTACTCCTGCAGGGTCCTCCATCATGGCCACAGCCAGATCCAGTCCCTCCGCAGGAGCAAGTGTCAGGGCTAGAGGGTCTGACTGAAGCCCAGGACAGGAGCTGTGTCTGGGGGGAGCAGGAGGAACACCCCTGCTGCTCTCATCAATATGCGTTTTAATGTTTGTAGAGGGAAGTGAAGCTTTGTGTGACAGAGAACAACACTGCTGCAAAGTGTTGGACAGCAACAACTCAGAGAGTAATGTGCGGAGCTCAGCAGCTGGATGTGAGTGTGCTTAATAACTGTCATGTTGATGACTCATGTTTTTACTAATAAAGCTTGAACCGATGAATAACATGATGAAGTGTTTTGGTCTTTTATCTGATGAAAAGTAAAATTAAATGGTTTCATAACTGTACCTGATACTCTCTGGATAAAATGAAAACATTGGGATTTAAACAATCAAATAAATATGTATGTGATATCTTTTTCAATGATCCTAAAAATATTACAGTAATTTAAGAAACCAGGAAATTATACATGTTTTAGCCATAATGATAATCCTGTGCATTTAGTGTCATGAAGAAGATTTGTAGTTACTCATGACACAAATATGTGAGGCAACAGTTAACAATCAGACAGCAAAAAAATCCTCAAAATATTTAATAGTACTTCACTGTGAATGTGTGTTTAGTGCTTGGTGAGGTGACTGTCAGTTCTGTGTTCAGTGGTCTGTGTCAGAGTCTCTTCCTGCTCTAACGGCTCAGTGTCTCTGCAGTCTGACTGAGGGAGGTTTTTGTACGACTACAAATCACTGTGTGAACACCCAGGCACTGTTTATATAATGTAGACTCTGACATGAATAAACTGCTGCATCTTCAGTCTGAACTCCACTGATGGTCAAACTGAAGTCAGAGCTGCTTCCACTGCCACTAAACCGAGTTGGTGTTCCTGATTCACGTGTGCTCACATATTTTATTAGGAGCTTTGGAGCCTGTCCAGATTTCTGTTGGTACCAGAACATAGCCTGATCTCCATCACTGTATCTGTAAACATCTTGGCTGGTTATCAGGTGAGAGTGACAGTGGATCCTGGAGTAGTTGTCTCTACTGGAGGCTGAGTCACAGTCACCTGACCGCTGCATCCTGCAGACAAAAACAAATCATTCATTTATCAGCAGAAAGAAATGAGAGAAAAGGCAGCACATCATGTTTCAAATGTTGCTGAGTGAATCAACCTGTAAAACAGCAGCAGGCCAGCGTCCAGATGAGGATGGTGATGAGAGTCATGGTGGTTGTGCTTTCTGCTGTGTTGACTGACAGATCTGAGTCCTGCAGTGTTCAACTCACAGGACTATAAACCTTCTCAGTTCACTGGAGGATCAGCTGACGATGCAAAGCCTCCTCTCTATGGAAATGATTTCTCTGCTCTCAACAGACTGAAGGCAACGTGGGACACAACATCAGGAGAAATGCTGCTTGGATTTACACTAAATATCATCTTAATGGAAGAGAAGGAAATATTTATATTAGAAGTGCAGTTGAGGATTTAAGGATCAGTTTGTGTCCACTGTGGTTGGTATGATGTGTCTGTTTGTCTGCCTTTAGTGTTTACTCTACATTAATCATATATTTGAATGATGCTTAAAATGAATCATTATCATTAAAAGGATCATGTTCATTTAATCACGTATCAACTGATATAAACTGTGAAAAATGTGACTTTGTTACAAGGAGACTGTGATGGTTTCTCTGTCAGGTTTAGAAAAGTTCAACTAAACTGAAGAAATCATCTTAATTTATACATTATTTTCAATCTATACCTTTAAAACACTTTGTAGATTAAAATAGTTTATATTTTATTGAGTTATCAGAACAAGAGGAGGTTGTTTTCAGTGGATAGAAGCTTGTTCACAGTGCAGGAGGTTTTTGTACGGCCACTTCATGAGTTTGTATCACTGTGGAGCACTTTTGGTGGAGGAACCAAACTCGTCGTTGACTGTAAGTACCAGAGATTTTTATATTGAACAACATAAAACATTTATAAGTTTTATCAAATATTCAATGAGACTGTGATTAAGTTCAGTTTTTGAATATTGTTAATAATCTTTGTAATTTATCAAGAAAAGCTGATCTCACAGTCTGATGACTCATTATCTGCTTCAAAATGTTTGACAGTAAAATGTTTAGTCTTCAAACCAAACGTCAAAAGTTTCATTTAGTTTTCATTTATTCCTTTTGAAAAATAACAACGTTGAACTAAAACCTGATGTGGATTCCTGTTCAACACAAACATGATTTAATCAGTAAAAGCAGCTCAGCTTTGTGTTCACGCTTCATTCATTTTCCATGTGCTGAAAAGGAAGTGAAAGAGACAGATGACAAAGGTTTGAACTGTCTTCACATGAGTGTTTCAGCTCTGTCACTTTAAACAGAAGAAAATCTTCACAGGGATGAGTTATACACTGTCACACATTATCAAACACATGTGAAGATGTCATCAATAATCATTATCAATCAGCCTTTATCCACTTGAATCATGTGGCTGATGGTCTGATGCTGAGTGATTTATGAGAGCAACAGTAGAACAAGTTCTTCTGTTTCATTTGATCAGATACAAGAAATGAGCAGTATGTCGTGTTTCTTTATTACCAAGCCTTCATTCTCATTCCTTTGTGTTTTCTCCCCCCTCTCTCTCCTCCAGTGGGGGTGGTGCGCCCCACCCTGACCGTCCTCCCCCCCTCCGTAGAGGAGCTGCAGAAGGGCAGTGCCACAGTGGTGTGTCTGGCCAGCGGAGGCTTCCCCTCAGCCTGGAGGCTGGGCTGGAAGGTGGGGGGCAGCAGCAGCTCCTCAGGGGTGTCAAACAGCCTGGAGGACCTGGGGAGGGACGGCCACTACAGCTGGAGCAGCACCCTGAGCCTCCCTGCAGACCAGTGGAGGAAGGCGGGCTCAGTGAGCTGTGAGGCCGGTCTGACTGGACAGAGCCCTGTCACTCAAACCCTGGAGCCTGACCGCTGCTCAGAGTAGAGCTTCAGCAGCACTTCCTGTCTGGAGGTGATGCTGCTTCTTTGATAGAGATCTTGATGAAGCTACAGATCTCCTCTCTTCACATATTTCTGCAAACTCATCATTGTGTTTTAATGTGCCTGCAGCTTCCTGTAACTAATCTCACTCATATTCTGCTTCATAGTTATTATTCTCATAATGTCTTTCAACATTTTCATCTAAACAATAAAACTAAACAGCTTATAATAAATCACTGTCTCTGTGTTTATTTTGCTTTATATCATTCATGCAAAGTTCACATTTAATCACAATTTATCTTCCATCAGAGGTCCTTCATTATTTGTTAACAATTAGACTATTTTTATGTAACAGGTTAATATATTTTGTTTTTCCTATGAATATAAAACTATTAGTGGAAATACTATTGGACATGTTTTTCTATTAGTGGAAATATTTGAGATTTGATGATGAGAATTTAAGTTAAAGCTTCATGTTAGAAACTGTCTGAGTTTGTTTCACTTTTATTTAGGTTCATTGTGGTTCTGCTTGATGACTCTTGTGTTGTGTTCACTGAACCAGTTCTCCTCCTCACAGTCTCTTCACCAACCCTCTGCACCTGCAGCAGGCTGTTTTCACTTCAGTCTGACAGAGGGAGGTTTTTGTACGACTCTAAATCACTGTGTGAACACTCCACCACCATGAGCACCAAAACAGTAGTAATCTCCAAGATCTTCAGCCTGAACACCACTGATGGTTAAAGTGTAGTGAGAACCAGATCTACTGCCACTGAATCGAGATGGAGTTCCTGAGAATCGAGTTGATGTTGTGTATATCAGAAGTTTTGGAGCCTGTCCAGGTTTCTGAAGGTACCAACTCAGATCAGCACCAATGTTTGAACTCCCTGTGGCGCTGATGGTCACAGTCGCTCCAAGACTAACAGACTTGGATTTGTCAGTCTGAGTCAGAAAATTGTTGGCAGAAGACTCTGAAATGAGAAATGAAAAATAAATCTTGAGAATCAGTGATTTAGATTATAACAAATAAAGTAATAATTAAGGCTAGATTTGAAGCAAAATAGAAAGTAAATTACATTTGCAACAAATATTAACATTTGATCATTTAAAAATCTTAGATAAATATTAAAACCTTCTCACCCTGACACAGAAAACCCAAGACAACAAGCAGAGTTATTGGCGACATCATCCTGATGCAGTTTTCAGTGTGAGTGCATGAAAACAGTTCAGACTCTCTGTGACTGAAGAACTTAAACTCTGACGAGCAGTGATGCATAAAAGTCATGCAAAGTAAATGTGAGCACACCTGTCTTTATGAAACTGAGAGGGACAGATGAGGTGGAGGAGGAGCAGGTTTTATCTCCATGTGGACTGATTCAGCACATGTAGAAACCTGAGACTTTCTGTTCCTCATCTCTCTGCTGTTTCTGTCTTTGCAAAGCTCCCAAAGGTCTCTGTGCTGATGAGCAGGAGCACACTGCCCTCTGCTGACACTTCAGGTTCATAACAACTCCATGTTTGCATCATATTCATTTTGTATTCAGTCCTGAGATATTTTCAAGATCATGTGACATCAGTCTGTTAATCCAGCTGTGACATTAGAAGATTCTCACCTGTTCACATCAAACACATAAAGAGTGAACTCGAAGAGAAAACAGCTCAAATAAACAGGCGTAACCTGTTAGTCTCTGTTTTACAGGTTATTTGCAATTTTTATTCATATTTACAAGAATATTTAAAAGAATGTTAGGGTGAAGGGGTGAAGGGGTGAAGGGATAAAGGGAGTGGGGGGTAGGGGTAAAGGGGGTGCAGGATAGGAGAATAGGAGTAGTGGTAGGGTGAGGGGTCAGGGTGGGTGCAGGATGGAAGCTTCACTGCCGTCCATTCCTCCACTTTACTGTCACTGTGGCTGCTTTCCTTCTTGCGAGCCCAGCTCCAGTTGCTCCATTTCTTCTCCTTTATCTCCTCGTCCTGTCCGACCTCAGCCTGACACACTGCAGCCTCCTCCTCCTCCTCCTCCTCCACCTCCTCAAAGCTGGTTTCTTGCTACTTTTTGCTCCAGAGGCCTCGTCTCCTCTTTATTTTGTCTTTCTTTTTCTGCTCCTGTCCGGTCTGAGCCAGACACACTGAACCCTCCTCGTCACCGTTGCTTTTTTCTTTCTTCTTGCCCCAGAAGCCTCTCCTGCTCTCCTTCTTCTCCTCCTTCTCCTTCATCTTGTCACAGTCCTTCATCCATGAATCTCTGACTTTCTCTGTCTCCTCCTTCTGTGCACCGAGAGTGTCTCCAAGTGAAGAGAGTTCTCTTTCCTTCTCTCTGACTCTTTCCTCCCAATTGTTGTGATCTCTGCCTGCCTTTGTGACCTCCAGAGCCTTTTCCAAATCATTGACCCTCTGTTTGGCCATGTGCAGCTTCCTACCCAGCGTCCCCTGCAGGCAGCGATTCTCGTGCATCACTTTCTGATTTTCTCCCTGCAGGTTGGCAAACTGCTGCCTCAGCGCAGCGTTTTCAGAGGCCAGCTTCATATTGCACTCTTCAGCTGAGAGAAGGGCTTGTCTGAGGGAGTTCACGTCTGAGCTGGGAGGCACTCCTGCAGGTGGCACATAATGCTGGGGCCTCCTAGTGTTGTTAGTCTGCACTCTACCAGATGCCTGAAATACATGAAAACACAACAAGTTTCTGAAAAATCCTCCTGTCTGCAAAATTATAAAATGATTTCTTGTTTTTCTTCAGGCTTTAGACCAAATATGAAGAAGAGAAAGAGCAGACTGGCTCCTGCTTTAGTGCAGTGGTGAAAAAAAGGTTTACCAAACAAGTTTCTCTTGGTTGAATGAGAAGATCTTACCCTGGGCCTCAGGTTGTATCTCCCTTCCATGATGACTGGACAAAGAGATGGTGAAGGTTGTATTGTTGTTTGACTGTGTAGGTTGACAGTAGCTGATCACTGGTGACTGGAGTTGACTGATGGTCAGGTGAAGTACTGAGTGAAAGTTAAACTGTTTGGAGGAGACGGTTCTAGACTGTTCCATCTTTGTGATGTCACTGACACAGAAGAACCAGAAAGTTCTGATCATTAACTGAGGATGATGATGTTGGTTAAGACTTTCTGTCAACAGAAACAAAGCACCAATAATTCACATACTTCAGCTTCAGAAGCAAATATTTTAGTTTTTACTCTACATTTATCTGACAGCTGTAGTTACTACTTATTTTTAGTTTGATTTTTATATATAAAATATTGATAAAGTTTATGATGAATAACATGATGGAGTGTTTTGGTCTTTTATCTGATGAAGAATAATAAGAAATTGAATTGTTTTATAATTTCAACTGATTCTTGTCTCTGTGGAGAATGAAAAGTTTAGGATTTAAATGATGAAGAAAAAATAAATGTTGTTAATCTAATTGTTCCAAAAAGTAAGGAATTCATATTTTTGTTATGATAGGAAACTAAACAAGCAATGATGTGAGTTTTCTTTGAAATGAGACAAAAATAAAAATAAAAATATGTGAACAAACAACATTTATATGAGCTGTTGACTTTGAATATGAACGGAACATCATTACATTCTTACATTATCTTTGTTACAAAAATATCCTTGTAAAGGTTGAATTAATCAATTAGTGTGAATGTGTGTTTAGTGCTTGGTGAGGTGACTGTCAGCTCTGTGTTCAGTGGTCTGTGTCAGAGTCTCTTCCTGCTCTAACGGCTCAGTGTCTCTGCAGTCTGACTGAGGGAGGTTTTTGTACGACTACAAATCACTGTGTGATCGGCCAGTTACTGCCGATGTTATGTAGACTCTGACAGTAATAAACTGCTGCATCTTCAGTCTGAACTCCACTGATGGTCAAACTGAAGTCAGAGCTGCTTCCACTGCCACTAAACCGAGCTGGTGTTCCTGATTCACGTGTGCTCACATATCTTATTAGGAGCTTTGGAGTCTGTCCAGATTTCTGTTGATACCAGAAAAGGTAATTATTACCATAAACATCTTGGCTGGTTTTACAGGTGAGAGTGACAGTGGATCCTGGAGTAAATGTCTCTACTGGAGGCTGAGTCACAGTCACCTGACCGCTGCATCCTGCAGACAAAAACAAATCATTCATTTATCAGCAGAAAGAAATGAGAGAAAAGGCAGCACATCATGTTTCAAATGTTGCTGAGTGAATCAACCTGTAAAACAGCAGCAGGCCAGCGTCCAGATGAGGATGGTGATGAGAGTCATGGTGGTTGTGCTTTCTGCTGTGTTGACTGACAGATCTGAGTCCTGCAGTGTTCAACTCACAGGACTATAAACCTTCTCAGTTCACTGGAGGATCAGCTGACGATGCAAAGCCTCCTCTCTATGGAAATGATTTCTCTGCTCTCAACAGACTGAAGGCAACGTGGGACACAACATCAGGAGAAATGCTGCTTGGATTTACACTAAATATCATCTTAATGGATGCTGCTTCTTTGATAGAGATCTTGATGAAGCTACAGCTCTCTACTCATTGTTTTAGTCTGTACGTTGCTTTCTTATACTGATCTTCTGCATATTCTGCTTCATGTTCATTACTGTTCAAATATAACTAAATCTTGAAATATGGCATAAACATTTAATCATTGAAATAAAACTGTGTATTAAAGTAAATCAGTATCTCTGTTTTTCTTTTACAATATATATATTATGAAAAATACTTTCTGGATCATTCCAGTATCATATTTTATTATATATTAATATTACAGGTGACTTTATTACTTTTAGCCAACTTTTAATTAGAAGATACTACATTCAGAGTCGGAAATCATTTGAAACTATATAACTACTATCTAATATTATGCAGTTTGCAGTTTGAACTGTTGCTATTCAATACTTATTATGTAGCAAAGACGCCATTTAACATTTAATTTACTCTAACAAAATAATTATTTCAGCCTCGTCATAAACAGATGGAATCAAATTACAATAATAAGTCTAAAACTGTATGTGGAAAAGTGCCAGTGAGTTTGTTTCACTTTTATTTAGGTTCATTGTGGTTCTGCTTGATGACTCTTGTGTTGTGTTCACTGAACCAGTTCTCCTCCTCACAGTCTCTTCACCAACCCTCTGCACCTGCAGCAGGCTGTTTTCACTTCAGTCAAAGTGAAGGAGGTTATTGTACGACTCTATATCACTGTGTGAAGCCATAATTGCCATTATCACCAAAGCAATAGTAATCTCCAAGATCTTCAGCCTGAACACCACTGATGGTTAAAGTGTAGTGAGAACCAGATCTACTGCCACTGAATCGAGACGGAGTTCCTGAGAATCGAAATGATGCAGTGTATATAAGAGGCTTCGGGGCCTGTCCAGGTTTCTGAAGGTACCAACTCAGCTCAGCACCAATATCTGAACTCCCTGTGGCGCTGATGGTCACAGTCGCTCCAAGACCAACAGACTTGGATTTTTCAGTCTGAGTCACAAAACTGCTGGCAGAAGACTCTGAAATGAGAAATGAAATATCTTGAGAAGAAATGCTTGAAGCCTTTTCAAGAGAAATTCAGGTCATAATAGAAAAGAAAAATAGAAATCACAATTAAATAAAAAATAAAAAGGAAAAATCTGACTGTTTCTGCAACAAACATTTTCAAAGTCTCTCACCCTGACTCAGAAAACCCAAGACAACAAGCAGAGTTATTGGCGACATCATCCTGATGCAGTTTTCAGTGTGAGTGCATGAAAACAGTTCAGACTCTCTGTGACTGAAGAACTTAAACTCTGACGAGCAGTGATGCATAAAAGTCATGCAAAATACATTTAAGAATGGAAACACACCTGTTCATGTGAAACAGAAAAAGCAGTATTCTGGACCATTCAAAAATTTAAAGTCTGTCTAGAAAACTTTTACATTCTTGCACATGATGTCTCATTAATAGGTGCATGGCTCCCTTTGCAGACACTACATTTTATTTATTCAGTTCTTATTTTTTTGATGTTGTAGTTATTTTCAAAATTTGTCACCCTGATAAACTGGATCCAGGTGCTAAAGTCTGCTACATTTATTAGGATAACTAAAAACTGGCATAATTTGTCACTTTATTGCTAGCATGCTAATATTAGCATTTAGGTCAAAGCCTATAAGTACGGCCTCACAGAATCATCTTGTTGGTAATCACTGAGGCTTTTAGGTCATATTAGTCACTACTATATACATATTGTGTATTTTATTAAGACCATACTCATGAACCAGACCAGTGAGGAGAGACACAACATATAGCTAGCACTTGATTGCAACATAGAGGAACTCTTTCTTTAGACACTAACCTAGCATGCTGTGCATCAACTTTCTAAGTACTTTAATATTTCATCAGAAATACAGAAGATATATCTGCCATGTGTTCTGACTTTTGTGTTATTTCCTGTTCATATGTACAATATAGTACAACACTCAGTTAACTGAAGATTGTGTGTTGATTGAGGAGAAATACTGTAAAAGTATTTTGCATTAATTTCTGATCTGAGCCAGCCTCTTTCTATTTCTAAGAGAGGAAGACCGTTTGCACAACTGACCATCTGGAGCACTAAAGGGGAACTAAACCTGAGTGTTAGGCACATGAAAATCTGACTTTCACTTCCTCTTTGACTGAAGATGAACATGGGAAGTTTCATAGGTGGTGGTTGTGCTTTGATTAAGTGTGTTCAATGTTCAGGTGAATGTTTGTGCATGTCAGAGTCCTGCCTGGATGGGCTGTCGATCCTGCGAAAGATAAAACATATGCTATTGTACTGTATGTTATAGCATATATTATATGTAAAAGACAATACAAAAATTGAACAATATAATCCAACACAGAAACTCTGTATCAGTTCCCATAGAAAGATTAGTTTGTGCATTGGCTACAGTCAAATTAATCACAGTATCTCAGCCTGAATGTGGATTGACAGTATCATCAGGGAAACCAGTCACATCTTTATTACAGATATACTGTATTCGTGTGTAAGAAAAAGAATAAAGTATGGTAAAGACCTTATTTCTTAAAAGCACAACAGATATTCAAACTATCTGCCATGGGTGAGCACACTTGCACCTGTGAGAATGAGTTTGTTTCTGCCAAATAGAGATGAATACTGCCCTCTGGGGTTAAAATAGGACATTGTAAATTAATTTGAATCATGCACATCATGGATGGATTATGAGATAATCAGCCCCTGGACACAGACATGTGAGAAGCCCCCCATCTTTCCTTTATAAGAGCAAGATCCCCAGGCCCCGTGTGGTTGTTTTGTCTCCCTGACCCCCTTGGCCCCTGTGTCCAGCAGGCATATTCAATAATCCAGACTCCACTTAGGTCCACCTTTATTAATAATTTACATACTGTATGGATTTTATTCAACGCCAGAAGTCGGTGCTTTCACGATGAACAGTAATGCATTCCTTAATTCTCCAATCATTCATATTACACGTGTAAGTGGAATGTGTTCTGGTCAAATGGTCAAATGCCACATAATGGTTTATCCCAGACTGTTCGTAGTATTAGCAAGAATTTGTGTCAACCCATTGAGTACCATGAGTAGGTTTTACTGCATCATGCATCTGTTAAAAGTACATTTAATAAACATTTTTTGCTGCGATTGTCTGAACTTGCTGTAAAATGAGGTACAAACCAAACTCATCTGGTACTCTAAGCAAGTTAAAACAAACAATCATTCTCAAATACAGATTGACTCAGCTCCGGCTCGAGTTTCTCAGGCTTATCAATACATTTTATGATTTGGAGTTCATAATGGCACAGTTCAGGGAACTGAGGATGAATTGGTACACAAAAACATGCTAAAAAAAAAATTGTCTTCTGTTGTGTTAGTTACAAATATAAAACAATGATATACATACTTTTTAAAAGCCGTTAAAAAAAAAAAAAAAAAATACAGGACATTACCAATATGTAATATACAAAAAATGCAAAGTCTTCCTCCAGTTCAACAGACAATTTCATACAGTATTTGTGTTGTACTCACCCCAACACACTGCCAGTAAGGCTTCTATTGCAAAAGGCAGAGATAAAGACAAACAGAATATCCAGACAAAGCATCAAATTGAGAGAAATGTGGCAGGTACAGTAAGCCCGAGCATTCAAGGCATTTTTCAGTGTTCATAGTTTGCATAGTTTGTAGAAGAGCCTGCAGAGAGAGTTTGATAGCAGAGGCGTATGGAGTCTGAGTCGAGATGATGATAGTGTGTATTTTGGTGCCTAAACTGCCACCAGAGGGTTGAAACCACTGACATTTTTCATCTACCATTAGAAAATAATAAAAGCTTTCGTGTACAAAAACAGAC